CCTCCTTGTTTTCTCTTTTTGTTTCTTTTTTTTTTTTTTTTTTGGCAAAACTGCTAGCTCCCCCTGTGGGGAGGGTCAGTCAGCCAGAAACATTCCCCCAGAGCTGCCAAACCAGTTTTGACCAGAACTGGGGCTTATCTGGGATTTCCAGTTGGGCCTGCTGGCTAGGCTGGTGAAAGTTTTGTCCAGGGCTGCTCTCAAGGGGAGGGAATGGTAACCGCCCCGGCCCCTTTCTCTGTGGTGTCTTCATAGAAGTACCCCCTCCACAGTCAGCCATCTCTGAGCTGGGACCAGTTAGAATGACGCAAGGAGTGCAGGAGTACCCTGGGGAAGGCAGTCTCCAGGCTAGGCATTTCTGGATCACTTTGAGTTCAGGAATGGCATTCCTTAGTGTAGCAGTCTCTTCTTTAATATCTGTAACATCAGGGGCAGAAGAGTTCCTGGAGCCAAGCCATGAGCACCAGCAGAATAGGGCTGTGTGTCTCTGCACTCTAGGGACCATCATCCCACATCAGGCAGTGTTCAGCACCTTTACTTGGATGCCTCTGAGAGGGTAGGCTTTGATCAAATATGGCTACTTACACCCCCATTGCCTAACCCAGTTTTGGCACTTGGTAGGTCCTCAATGAATTTTGGGTGAAAAAAGAGAATACATAAGAATCCATCTTCAGTCATCCATCCATTCTTTCTCTTATTCAAGCAACCAATATTCATTAAGTACGCAGCTACCTGCCAGGTTCTGGGCTAGGTGCTCATGGCAGAGAGATGAAGAGACAAAGCAGGCACCTGGATTCCTGGGCCTTGTAGTGTTAGTGTATCAGAACAGCAGTCTCGGTTTTGGATTCCACTGAATGAATAATGCACCTTTGTCTCCTCACAACCCTTACAATCTAGTCTGGGAGTATTAAAGTATAAATGGCATTATATTGAGAAAATTGTTCCCATAGAGAAATGCTTAATGGAGATGACAGACTAATTAAATACTATATATTTTTAAAAATTCATTTTAATGAACTCAGCCTGAGAAAAATCAAAATAAGTTCACAAAAATGCTAGTGATTCTTTTAGTTTCTTAGTAATGATAGTTGATTTGGGCTTTCATAAATACAGGTTATATATTTCTTATATATATGTGTATGTATAACTATTCTCAACAATGAGGTATTACTTTATAACCAGAAAACATTAAATAAAATCAAAGCATTGTGCTCATATTCCAGATCAGGTAAACTAACAATGAAGCAAATACACCAATTTTTTTTTTTTTATTGTGAGCTGGGGAGCATGTTGTACAGGTGAAACCCCATCAACACACAGGTCCCAGATCCAAACATACAGGTCAGATCAAGTTCCTTTAAACCAACTCACGATGTGGTGCCAGCCAGACATGGCAGCCAGCAGTCCTGATGCACACATTGGTGCCGTCTTGCCCCATACACTTGCAGAAAAAGAGCAGCCATGCTGAGTTTTTTCAGCAGATTTGCCTTCATGATTGTGATTTCTTTGGACTATCTTAAGTGAGTTTTTATTTTTAGAACACATTCCTATGATGGTCAAAGGGAAGAAATGTGTAGTAAGACTTCTGACAATTCACAAGATGAAATGTTTACCATATCTGATGAAAGTGCATGAAGCTCCAGACTATGTTTGCAAAATGACTTCAGGCTGCCCAATGACCAACCTCCTCCCTACATGTAGGTGGGGAGCTCAAATATTTAATATTAACAGTCTCATCTCTCACCACCTTCCTGGCTATATACACTCCAGACACAAACATTTGACATTTCCCAGGGCAGCATGTTTTAGCAAGTCCCAAGACTTTGTGCTTGCTCCACCCTCGTCCTGTAAAGGTTTTCCTCTGTAAGTATATGGCGACCTCAACTTACCCCCCAAACCAGCTCAAATGTCATCTCCTTTGTGAAGCTTTCCCCAAACACCCACATTTCTTAGGCTATCACTATTTTGTCCCAGCACCTTTTATCTTCTTTCCCCAAAAGGAAAACTCTTTGAGGGGAAAAGAAAGACGAAGTAACTTCAGCATCTCTTTATCTAGCACAACTGGGAAGTAAACAATAAATGTATTAAAGAAAGACATAGAGAGAACATGAATAACAAACCTCTTGCACAGTTTTTCTTGCTTCTTTAGAGGTTTTGGCCTTAGGGCATGTGCACTCACCAAAGAGAGAGAGGCAGAGACAGTGAGAGAGAAAGTGAGAAATCACCCCATCCCGGGGGGATGGCCATGCCACAATACTTTCTCCTCAATTCTCTCCTCTGGGATCTTGGGCACACTTGCACATGTACCTGGTGTGATTTTCAAGCCACCGAGCCCGGGGCTCAAACTGTGGTTGGCCATGTGGC